TGTTCACTGTGGTAGCAATGTGTTTGTTGCTGCAAACCATATACTTTCAAATAACATACTAAATCCTGCCTGCCTTTCTCATGAAAGGATTTCCTATAACTTCATTTGGAGAGACTGTCTCTGTAAGGGTATGTCTACACGCTACAGCATTATTTCGAAATAACGTGTCTACACACAAAATGCATTTCAAAATAGCGTTTTTCTATTTTGAAATAGCGCATCCACACTGAGTGGATGCTGAATCGCGTTTAAGGCCGGCTGGAACCAGGTCCGGCAGGGCACCAGGTCAGGATATACTGTGTGGGGCTGCTGCCTAAGGCTATCTGAGGCCTGTGCTTAAAGGGACCCTCCCTGGACAGTCAGTTCTCAGGATTCCCTGCTTGCTTGCATACCTCAATGTGGGACAGAAAAGCATTTTTGTTTTTGCACGCTCTGGTTGCCCTCACGCGGGACACCACAGCACTCTGAAATATGGAGCCAGAGCTGCCCCTGAGCACTCTGGTGCTTCTCGTGGACACGTTGCTGTGAGCCTGGCTTCACTTTCTGCAGGCTGCCATCCAGGAGGTCCATCGGGGGGCTGTCAGTATCCAGGAGGCCCTGCAGGAGACCTTCTACCCTGAGGAGCACTAAGAGCCTCCCTGGTCTGCCCCACTGGGGGCTTGTGCCTCATTCCTCCCTTATGTCCCTCCACTTACCCCCACCAGTCCCCCTTCCTGATGTCAAATAAAATACACGTTTTTTCATAAACGCAAACGGTCTTTATTTAACAAAAAGGGGGGGGATGAAACTCTGGGGAAAGAGGGTGGGAGAGGGGAGAAGAGAGAATGGAAGAGGGGAGGGGGAAACCTGGAAGGAGGGAGCTGGAAGGGGGAAGCAAGGGGAACAAGGGGGAGGGAAAGCTCAGGGTTGGGGGGGTCTCGCCGGACCAACTTGATTTTCATGCGAACCTGCTTCTGGGTTCACGAGTGGCCTTTGGTGGCCAGGCTGGCAGCTATCCTGTCATAGACGGCCATGTTCCTCCCTCTAGTGTGGAGATCATGGACGTTGGGGACATCCCCCCAAACTTGAATAAGTTCCATTATCTCCACACTGGACCAGGAAGGTGACTGCCTTCTCCGGGCCCTGGCAGGCTCCTGGGAGCTGGCAGACTGCTCCTGGGGAGCGGTGGAGGGCTGGCTGTCAGTCGCTTGCTGGCTCATGTTTTGGGGCCACTGAGTCAGGGGCAGTGACTGCTGGTTCTGGGGTGGCAGGCTTGGAGATGGCACAGGCACTGTGGCCAGAGTCTACCCCTTTAAGGGCTCCAGGGATGGGGAGAGGGAGTGGAGTGTTCCTGTCTGAGGCTGGAGTGGCCACCAGGGCTATACATCAGTTATTTCGAAATAGCTATTTTGAATTTGGCCGTTATTCCTCATAGAATGAGGTTTACCAAATTCGAAATAAGTGCTCTGCTATTTCAAATTTATTTCGAAATAGCAGTTTGGCTGTGTAGACGCTAGGAAAGTTATTTCGAAATAAGGGCTGTTATTTCGAAATAACTTTGCTGTGTAGACATACCCAAAGGCATGTTTCAAATTTGTTGGATAACTCTTAAGCACAGAGAGGGCCTGATCCAAAACCCAATGAAGTCAATGAAAAATAAATCCCATTAATCTCAATGGGCTTCCATTCAGGCCTACACAAAATCCATTTATGTTTAGTGCATTGAACTTTTGGATAAGAGTATACCGAAGATATTAGTAGAAACTGAACTGTGTGATTATCATGCACATGCTCTCTTCTTGTATAATATTAGTTTATGAAACCCTTCTTGTATAATATTAGTTTATGAACCCCATCCTCAACTATGAGGAACACACTTCGTAGGGGTTCATTGGTAACACTTTTAAGTCTCTAGTCAGCATAATGAAACTGAATTTCACTCCAGACATGAAAAAGGATCTACTTAATTTTTAAAACTTAACTAAAAGAATAGAAGTAGTTCTTGCTTCTGAGAGCCACTTATTCTGATTACTCAAAGCAATGGTAACTTTAGACACTATAGCTATGACTTGGAAGGTTTAAAGCCAAAAGAAATTATTCCCCTTTCCTCCGTGTGTGTGTGTGTGTGTGTGTGTGTGTGTGTGTGTAAGTGAGAGAGTGAGAGAAGTTGAAATTAGACAGTAAAGCAACACGCTCCCACACTTGATTACTGTACTTTCATTTTTAGAATTAAGTGAACTTGATTGATTGGATTGTTTCTTTTAAAACACTAGCAAGCTGAGAATTCTGCTTCATCAAATGGATTCTGTGGTAGACAGGACTATGCCCCCATTAAATTAGTAACACTTTAAGCTGCCTACATATATAGGTCCTGATTCCACAGTAAATTCCATGCAAGTGGCTCCCTGAGTCAATATAAAGCTCATTTCAGGATGGGGATCATAATATGGGCTTAATCTGAGGGTTATTGTAAAACAAATACCACTTGATTATTAAAAAAATGACTATGTTGTAGAGGAATATTCACACTGTTAAATTTCAATGTTATTAATAATGAATTGTTTTTATTAACACAACTGTCTTATTACATATGCCTAATGGAACTGATTAGGGGAGATTCAGTTTTAATTAATTTTTAATTGCTTGACTTATTCCTTTAACTCTGTCATTTCACTCTTGTTCACAATATGGAATTTAACAGTGCCATATCATAAAACCCAAAAGTAAACATGTAGGCTGCATCTAGATTGGCATGAATTTCCGGAAATGCTTTTAACGGAAAAGTTTTCCGTTAAAAGCATTTTCGGAACAGAGCGTCTAGATTGGCATGGACGCTTTTCCGCAAAAGCACTTTTTGCAGAAAAGCGTCCATGACAATCTAGACGCACTTTTCTGCAAAAAAGCCCTGATTGAGAAAATGGCGACCGGGGCTTTTTTGCGGAAAACAAATCTGAGCTGTGTACACTGGCCCTTTTGCGCAAAAGCATTGCGCAAAAGGGACTTTTGCCTGAACATGAGCAGAATAGTATTTCTGCAAGAAGCACTGATTTCTTACAGTAGGAAGTCAGTGCTTTTGCGGAAATTCAAGCGGCCAGTATAGACAGCTGGCAAGTTTTTCCGGAAAAGCGGCTGATTTTCTGGAAAAACTGGCCAGTCTAGACACAGCCGTATATTTTTAAATGCAGCACCATATAAATGCTGCAAACATTTTTTGATGACCTAAAAAGAGAATTACATGTTTACAGCATCTCTTTTGGGAAAACTCTTATAGATTTCACACTAGTTTTTTGTATTTTGGACATACTTCATTTTAATAATGTACATATTTGGATGTTATCTGGCAAGTGCTGTTTTAATGGGGAAATAATGTAATATTCAAATAACAGATTTTCTTCACACTTGCATTCCATATTGTCCATATCATCTCTTTCTTTCATATACTATCTTCTAGCATTTCCAAGATACCAGGAGAAAATTACACATAGAGACTTTCACTGTTATTGTCTTAGTGATAGGTCTTCTTTTCAAACAAACTATATGAGGAAGGTTATGTTTTGGAATAACATCCTGTGTTTTTGTGGAGCACCAGTTTTCAGTGACAGTCTGAAGTTGCATTGTATTAGCAGAAGGTATTTTCCAAAGTTAATTGATATCCCAGGTTTGTCCAGAGGAAAATCTACCGCTCCCCACAACATGCTTGACAAGTTATTATATTTACTTTAGTCAAAGCCCAAGTGTGCAGTATCCCTCTTGGAGGTGGTCTATTATTGGAGCCCCATATGCTTTTTGTTTGGGAAGAAAGCAGTCACTGTGTCATACTGTTACACAGGGTATTCTTTTTCAGGGATGTTGTTCCCTTGGGGACCATATCATGCCAGAGTTCCTAAGCCTAATAAGACCTTTGTAGCTCTTATTGTGTAAAAGTTCTGGGAGGGAAGCAAGAGTTAAACAGAAAATGTAATTCAAGCAACTATACTAGACCACATGTTGAAAAACATGACTGTTAAAGCAGAATGGCAGAGGCTTCAAAAAGATTCCTTGTGCAGTAAGCATGTGATAATGTAACCTTTTTATGCTTCTTCCCACTGAATCTAAAATGGGTGCTTAGGGCGGACTCTTTTAAAAATACCTGCAGCTCTGTGCAGGGTGATGTAAAAAAATAATCTGAGAAATTATATGCCTTCTTCCTAAATGGTTATATCATATGGGTTCAAAAAAAGTGTGGGGATGCCAACAAAGTGTTGAAATTGGAAGGAGTTAAGGAGGCTAAGCACATCACAGAGCAGCTCAGCACCCAACAGGAATGGGGGCCACATTTTTAAAATGGTATTTGCTTCTTAAATCACTTTTTACTCACTTTCTCCATTCATATTAAACACTGTCACCTAAAGCACCCATGGTAATTTAGTGGCCAGGGGATAACATATATAGAATGAATAGTGTTAAATTACAGTAGGTGAAGTTTTGTTTGCAGCAGTGCATAAGTATTATACTCTTCTAGAACTTCTTCAGTTTTAATGAACATCTCATACAGGTGAGCTGCTGTAGTTCCAGGAAGGAGGCTGTCCCTCAGCATATCCAAATGATATCCTTACATACCTTAAAAGATTAAAAGAATCACCACTCTTCAGTAAGACAAATCCTGCAATCCTTCCTGAATATTGATTCAGGCAAAACTCCCATTGATCCTATAACAATGATTGTATGATTAGTGGAAGAAGAAATAATGGAGCAGGGAATCCCTGGCATTTTGGTTTTACATAGGATCTTAACGAATTAATTAAGGTCACATGGTAGGCAGGTATTTGTCATTTCAGGAAATGAAAGTCAGAGCTATACAGGGAAATATCAGTAGGCTCCATAATTCAGGATACTCAGTATATCAGGAAATGGAAGTACTTCCCCATAGCCAATGTTTGGCACAGTAGGCAGACTAACAAAGATAAAGTACTAACTGGACTGGTTGCTGATGGGTAATAAACATGGCTGCTACAGATCTGGATTTTTTTTTCTTGTTCCAGCACTTGGTTTCACAACATATTCTGATTAATGAAGAATCGATGAACCTGTTGAGTCTGTATACTTCTCCTTCTTTGCCCAACATTACCTTGGGACTTCCAGCAGTACAATCTCAGCTCAGTGTAAGTGATCACTTCAAAGGGGTGTCATTATATCAGGGATTTTTCTTTGAGACCAACCTCCCTTATCCCTGTTTTCACCACAGCCTCCTCTGTCACTCTTCTATGTACTTTCTCTCACAATATGGTCATACTCTGGTATTCTTTCCCCTCCTCAAAAAGCCATCTCAATCTTTGAGTCTATTTGTCAGGTAAGCAATTCAGGACAAAAGCCGTGACTTCATTTGTGTTATACAGGACCTGTTATACTGGAAACAATAAATAATCACACCAAATAATAATGAATAAACAAATATGAGCATAAAGCTCATATCATGATATACCAAACACAGTTTTTCAATGATGACTGAAGACACAGAAGTGTTGGTGGATGTACAGATGGGCCATAAAATTTGATCATTCAAACAACTTTTGTAATGGTGACTAGTATCTTGAATAAAATTTCTTCTAGGAATTCCCTACCTAAACCAAGAGTTTTTAGTGCGATATTCTAGTACAGTAAACTTCCGATAATCTGGCACCTTTAGGACCCAGGGGGTGCCGGATTATCAGATATGCCGGACTATTGGAAGGGGGGGCTATAAGGTGTCTGGGGTGGGGTGGATGCCACCCCAGACCTCTCATAGCCCCCCCTTCCGATAGTCCAGCTCTGCCCCAGGCGTCCCTGATTCAGCCGCTGCTGGGCCGTTTCAGCAGCGGCTGGATTG